ATAAAATGACTAACATACATTTGAAAAGGTGGGGATCTGCTCAGTGCATCTTCAGCATGGGTACTGAAACTTGGGGTGGTGATGCTGGGGAGCAGGGGAACTGAACTCACTGGGGTGGATGAGCTCTGTGTAGCTTCAGCCTGTGGAGGACGAGGTGGTGGTGCACCGCGGTCGCCATGGTACAGGCTTCCCCCCAGCCTTTCAGATGTGGCGTGGTAATAATACCTTACGGTTTCCTAGGGCCGTTCAGCCAATAGAATGCTTTCACATGCACTATCTCACCTGATCCCACATAACGGCTCTGTGAGGTGGGCCGGGAGAAGCAGCATCATGCCCAGTGAATGAGGGGGGCCAGGGAGGTGGAGTGACCTGTCCAGCATCACACAGGTCATCCAAAAGAGAGCTAGGACACAATGTGAGCTTTCTGAGAGTGAGAGAGGCACTTCCGCCCTGCATCCCTGCACCGTGGTCCTCAGTAGAGGGATGATGGAGGGCTAACTCTCTTGGTCCCAGGTGCCCTTCTGCCTGGGCCTACACTAAACTTGTGTGCCCAGGGCTCTCCTTCATTGACTCCTGATCTTCCCTGCTTTCCACGTGCAGATTCACCCAAGACAATGGACTCTACAGGTCATTAATCGTCACAATCCCCTGGGGGAACTTTAACACCCTTTCTAATACCCCCGTCACTCCCACTAACACACACAGAGTCCTAGTCCCAACCCCTTCTTGATGTCTGTTAAAATTTTGTGGGTTAGGTTATGTCTCTGAGACATAGTTAGGATTACAGATGTTTATGGAGGAGTGAGTACTATGAAGAGGAAAGAAGGGACGGTGGGATTGGCCAACTGCATGGCTCTGCCAGCCCAATGGAGAGTTCCAAAGCAAAGATGGTCTGTTAGAGGGATACTCACTGGGTGGACATGGCCAGGCCCTGTACTACCTGCCGCCTTGCTCAGTTACTGCCTGAGGGCCTCCTGAGAAGAGCAGGACCTTTGCTTAACAGCTGTAGGAGCCAACAGCTAGAGACTGTCAGGTCACCACTGTCCCTGAGGCTTGGTGGTGAGTCCTTTCTTAAAGGGGGAATCTGAGCAGCAGGCACATCTCTATCTGTGATGACAACTTCTTTTATTGTGCTGATT